AAGCAGGAACTCAGAGATACCTGGTGGGATGTATCTCTGGAAGGCTGGACGCTTCAAATTCGGGCGGAACCATACCCTGCCTGTTTTTCGTTTAGTCATGGGTGCACGTGGAGGTGTGCAACGAAGCTTAGATCTTGTGGTTTCTCCTCTACCCCTTGATCCCAAGTGAGATATTGTAGACAACCTCGATCACTCTCTTGAATTCTAACCCGAAATTATCAACATCATCACCACCACCACTGACTACAGTACCCGACCAACATACACCTACCTCACCGCAGGACAAGCGTATGTGTATTTGGCCATCTGACGAACGGGCGCGAGTTGAAGCCACGTCCGTGTGGTGACTCTGTTGTAAGTCTCACTAGACCCGCATATCGACAGCAAAGGTACCCGACCCGCGCTTACCTACCATCATTTTCCCCTCGTCCTCCAGCAACCCATTACTCAAATGCAGCAGCGGAAAAACCTCCACCCTCCGACCTCCCCTTGAACGTTCTGCATTTCCCTCTGCCACAAAGATCCTATACTATGCATGTTATCCCGACCTCCCCACGACAGAGATCAGCAATGCTGGGTTCTTTTCGGGTACGGGAGCAAGATCAGATGGTCGCCCACGATGGCATCTTGGTCTCGAAAGCCCAATCCGGCCCCTGCCGAAACCGACCATGATACGGCAGCAAAAGCAGGTAAGGGAGAACACGCGTATGCGAAGATGAGAGGGGAAAACGTCGACATTCTTAGATCTGTCGACAGTGTTGTTGCAGTTGCTGTTGTGGTTGTTGTCATCGTTGTTTCCGGGAAACCAAATTTGCCCGCATACGCAAGCTACACGACCCAAAACAAGCACACGGCAATGCTTTTGGAGCCAGAAGGACGTTTAGAGCAAGACACACAAACCGCGCGTGGGGGAACAACCCACTGCATTCCACAATTGGTGGTATCTAAATCCAACCTCCACCTGGCTGTTTTTTCTTCACTCAACAAGACACACACAACCCCACGCTCGGTCCTTTCGCCAAAAACGCCACACGACACGAGGCACCAATCAGAAGAGTCGCGGCGGCGGTAGCCGGAACAATGTCAACGCTTGCCAGCACATATTATATGCCTTGCGGGGCACCGGACGTTCGTTCATGCTTCATGAAAAACCGTCGCATTTACGGTACATACACAGCAAGAAGAAAAAGAAAAAAGACGGAATGTCGTGCAAGTACAGGGGTTTTCAATGAGCTAACCTATTATAACAGTTGGCAGGGTGGCGGTTTCAGGCCCAACGTTTTTCGTCAGA